TTTGCCCCTTTTCTTCCTATTTCACATTATCTATTACACCATTTAGTCCTTATTTACACTTTCAGTTTCTCACACTAGAGAAACTATTTGGTATTTACACATGTGTGTCCTGTTTATTACACTTTAGAGTATTGCCTCAATGTGCATCCATTTAGCTATAAATGTCTCTAATTTCTCATTTTTATGGCTGAGTAGTACTCCATTTTATTTAAAAAAAACAAACCACATTTTCTTTATCCAGTCTCCAGTTGAAAGAAACTTTTACCTTTAGTAGGAGGGCAGAAAAACAAAACCTAAGACTTATGAGGTTAGAATCCAATAAAGCAGGATTTTAAAGCCATTGTCAGAGTCCTGGTTGGAAAACATTGGAACGGATAACAGGGCTCATGGGAAGAGATCATACAAGCAGGTGACCTTGAATTTTTTTTCCGGTACCAGGGATCGAACTCAGGACGTTGAACTTGCAAGGCAGGCACAGCGCCACTGAGCTAAATCCCCAACCCAACCCTGAAATTTTGACACTATCTCCACTACTCCAGTCTTCTTTGAACCTTCTGAGCCTGCATAAGCTTTCCATATTAAGAGCTGGCACCTGCCCCTCATAGGGCAACATGTGCCAACTGTGTCCTCACCTCCCCTTTTGGCCAGTGAGTGTGGAATGAGGGCTAAGTCACAATGCAACTCAGCTAAGGACACAGTGGGCTTACAAGGAAGAAAAGGCACTATACACCAAAGAAGCTGCTAGGTCTAGGCACTGTGTCCCAGGAAGAGTGGAAGGAGAGCACTGACTGGATACTAAGGAGCCAGAGCATACAATTGAAAGGGAAGAGTTTATTGACTTGGGACACTTAGGATGCAGAACTTAACACCTAGCAAGAACCCAGGACCTCAGAAGGTGGTGTGAACTCACTCCTTCAAGGGTGGGAAAATGATGGCTCACACTGTGAAGCTGGAATGTCAGAACCACCCTGTCAGGCAGTGGAGGGATAAGTTAAAAGTGGATGTGGCATATGGTCTGGCTGGAATATGTGGCATATGTGTGGCTGGAAGACTTGCTGAGGAGGATATTTGTGGGAAGGCCCGGAGGAATGAGCTGAGATGAGGGGGCATCACTAACAGGACGAGTGGGGGCTGTCTCTGAAAGCCAGGGCTGGTGGCAGCAGAGGCTGTTATAGAAAGTGGCTCTTCATATCAAAGGACCTAGAACAAACAAAGGTCAAGTGCAATGCTGGGGTGGGACCATGATTACTGTGATGACTGGCAAAGTCAGAGTGGCAACCAGAGGGCCTAACTGCAGAGAGTCATGAAAATGGTTAATGGAACCTGGCAAAATAGATGAGCCACTGACAGGAATACTACACAGCTTTTACTAGTACATGAAATAAAGGATGAATGACTAGGAGGCTGAAAGGATTTAATCCACGAAAGCGTCACCATTCCTTGTATCCCCAACAAGCATAATACATTCCCTGGGTACTAACAGGCAGAAGCTGAGGTGCAACTATATGCCGTATATCCCTTTTTCCTTCCCTTTATGGTATTAGTAACATATATTTTGCTTCTTTGTTATAAGCCTCCAAAACATGTCACTATTTTTGCTTTAAGTAGTTTACTACACTAGATAAACTTTAAAAGAAGAAAAAATCTTTTTGGTGCTTTTATTCCTCTTGTGTGAACTCAAGTTTCCATCTGGAATCATTTTTATTTAATGTGAAAAACTTTCTTTAATATTTATTATACAGTAATTTAGATATGATACAATAAATTTCTTATCATTTACTTGCCTGAAAATCCACCCCCCTTTCTCTCTCTCTCACTTTTTAAGAGATAGGGGTCTCACTATGTTGCTCAGTTTGGCCTTGAACTCCTGAGCTCAAGTGATCCTCCTGCCTCAGTCTTCTCACTAGCTAGGACTACAGGCATGTGTTATCACTCCTATTTTTCAAAAGAATTGTTGCTGGACGTAGAACTCAAAGTTATCAGAGATTTTTCTTTCAGGGATTTAAAGATTTTTACCCCATTATATTTTGACTTGCATTCTTTCTGATATGAAGGGTGAAGTCAGTAGTACTTTTATCTTTCTCTGTATGCATTGTGATTTCACAGTTTCATTCACTGTTTCTAATATTTTAATTATTGGTTTTCAGCAGTTTCAAATGTGCCCTGGTACGGTTTTCTTTATGTTTACCCTGTTTAGGATTAGTTTTTTGGGGGGAGGGGGCTGTCTGTAGGTTTATTTGTTTGATCCAGTTTAGAAAAATATTGGCCATTATTATTTAAAATGTTTTTTGTCCCTTTACCTTTCCTTCAGAGGCTCTGATTACACTGTTAAACAACTTTGTATTGACTCATAGGCTACCAAGAGGCTGTTCATTTTCTAAGTTTTCTTCTTTCTGTGTTATAATATAGATTATTCTTTTTTCCCTTAAAAAAAAAACAGTACTGGGAATTGAATCCAGGGCCTTGTATATGCTAGGCAAGAGTTCTACCGCTGTGCTACATTGCTAACCCCTAGAATTCTTTTGCACTGTTTCTTCGTTCATTGATCCTTTCTTTGGCAAGGTCTAATCTGTTGATAAATCCACACAGCAAAATTTTAATGTCAGTGTATTTTTCTACTCTAGAAGTTTGATGTGGTTCTTTTTATGGTTTTCATTTCTCATATATTTATGTTCTTTTCAATTCTCATCTATATTTATGGTAACTGATCTAAAGTTTTTTTCTGTTTTAAAATATAATTTCATTAACTGTAATTTCTGGATCTCTTTTCTGTTAACTTATTTTTTTCTTGTTTATGGTTTATATTTTCCTGCTTCTTCAAAAATATAGTAAATTTTTTTTTTGAGTCAGAGTCTCACTATATAGCTCAGGCTGACCTTGAATTTACTATGTGGCCCAGGCTGGGCTTGAACTCATTGCAATCCTCCTGCCTCAGCCTCCTGAGTGCTGTGCTTACAGGTGTGCACCACCAAGCCCAGCATGTTTCAGTAATTTTTTTAGTGAGTGTGAATGTTACATGATTGAGTATCTAGATTTTACTTTCTTTGCTTAAAGACTGCTACATTTCTTTCCAGCTAGGAGTTAATTTACTTGTAGATTAGCTTTTTGATCTTTGGGCTAATTTAGCCTTATTTGTAGTGTGGGCTTCCTAGGGTCTTTTTACCAAATGTCCCAGATTTTAAATACTCTACTTGACTTCTTTCCGTCTTGTGCTTAGGTAAACAACTCCAGGAAGCAGTCAGGGGAAATTTGGGGGACTCATATTGTTTTGTTTTCTTTCTTTCTAGATCACAATCTTACTATGCCTGAACTGTCCAATGCCTGAATATACTTGCTTCATAGATTTGGCTTTGTTTTCTATTGCTTATGGTAGGAGATTTGGTTTGGTGGTAATTACTTATGGCCATATAATACTTAGCATCTTTCAAATACAAACTTTCTATTGAATAAAACACACTGGAAAATTGCATAATAATAGGGATACAGTTTGAAGAATTTTCATTAATTGAACATATCATGTAAACAACACCCAAATGGAGTAAAAGAACATTAGAACTTCAGAAGTTCCCGAGTGTTCTTTTTCAAACATTAATAGTACTACCTAAGGTCAACCAATATTCTGATTTCTATAACCTACAGTATTTTGTTTTTTGAGCATAACATAAATGTAAGCATGTGGTATGCATGTTTTGTGTCTGAATTATTTCACTCAGTTTTGTTATGAAATTCAATAGTGCTAAATTGTTCATTTTTTCCTGTATTCTACTATGTAAATATACTAAAATTAATTCATCCTATGAATATCCTTATACACATACCTTTGAAGGAAAATATAAATACATTTCTGTTGAATGTACAGCTAGTAGGATTGGAATTACTGGGTTCACCAAATTTATATAATTAGTTGAGATCTTTCTTCTGAACTCCAGACATATTTATTCAAACCTGAATGACATTTCCATTTGTAAGTATCTCAATCGTTTCTCAGCCTTTTGGCTAAGATCAAGTGTATAAGTATCTCAAATTTAACATATAGTAGAACATTTGCTCCTCATTCTTTGTTCTCTGAATCAGTAAGTGGCTTAACTCATCTAGTTTCTAAAGGAGTCATTCTTAACACTCCTCTTTCCTTGACCCTTCCCCGCAAACCAATCCATTATTAAAGTCCTTGGATTCTGCCTCTAATTTATAAATATCTTAAACTTACCCATCTCTTTTTGTCTCTGCTGCCATTTCCCTAGTCCAAGCCGCCATCATTTGTGCCCTTAACTAATGTAACTGTCTCCAAACTGGCCTTCCAGTAAACTTTCTTGCTGTCTTCCATTGTGAGTTTTTACAAATGTAAATCAGATTCTACTTAACAGTCTTTATTAGCGGCCCATTGACCTTGGGATACCTTAGAGTCTGAAATCTATAAAGTGGCCAATTAGAGCATGCTCTAGCCTTAGTCTCATCACAGCCCAAGCTTACCCTTGTCCCCTACAATCCAGCCACAATTTCCTTTCAATTCAAAGTTCTTTCATGACCCAACACGCAGATAATTCCTTGGTCTAGAACATTCTCTAAGACTCCTTAATATGCCTGAAGTTTAAAAGGCACTTATTTAGAGGGCTCTTCCCTGACAGTCCAAAATTAACTTATCATCGCACCCATTAATCTTTCTCACCATTTATATTTCTGTAACAATTCATCCTTTAATGTCTTTTGCTCCTGTTACACCTTCAATTCAATCGAGCGTTATGTTCACTCTTAAAACCCGATGTCTAACACAGCGCTTGTTGCCTGGAAGACACTCAGTAAATGATTGTTTAATAATACAAGACCATGCAAACGCTGGGAGGGACTCTGGGGACAGCATCTGGCCCTTCTCAGCCGAGGTTAATTTCCTCTAGGGGTAGGGGCAAATGGGGGCAGGTCCTTTCCTTGCTAGTCCAGAGGACGCTTTTCCTCCTTCCCTAAAGTGTTTGCTTTAGGGCCGCGTGTGAGAGAAAAATTGCCTCCAGACACAGAGGAATAAGCAAGGGAGATTAGCCTCATTTCTGAGGGACAACACAGTTCCATTCCCAGAGGACTATGCAATATGCGTGACAAGCTGCCAATGTCTCCTGGGAGAGGCGGGACTAAGGCGGGCCCGGGAAGGGGACGAGTCAGCGAGTGCTTCCAAGAGAATCTGATTGGTCTGGGCGAGCAGAGCGGGCGGGGGCGGGGCTTGACTCCGGGTGCAGCCACGTTGGACTTGGGGGAACCCTGCCTAGAGGCCACTCCCAGCCCCACAATGCATTGCGTGGCGCGTCACTCGGAGCTCCCGGCCCAGGCTCGACAGGTACTGACCAGCCCCTTCCAGTCCACTTCCCTCCTCGTTCAGGGTCGCTGGGACCCTGGCTGGCCGCTGACCCCGCTCTCCCGCCGCCTTTCTCGGTCTGCCTGGGTCTGGAAGCGAGCCGGTGCAGAGGGAGCCGGTTGTCGTTGGGGCCGCGGAGTTCTGAGGGGCAGACAAGCGAGGACTCCTTCCCCTTCGTCTTGGATCTGTGGGCCACGCGGGCGGTGGTTTCTCCTTGGCTGGCTTGCTCCCAGTATGGAGCCCGAGCTAGGATGTCTGAGGGAGGGGACCTTCGCCGTGGGCTGCCAGCGATTGGTAGTGAGCACTCGGTGGCCCAGCTGTCAGAAGCATAGGGCTCCACCCAGCCTTTTAGGTGGCCCAAGAGAGCTTGAGGTGACATTTCCTATATCTCTTAGGCAGGGTAGGACTCAACAGTGGCTTACCGTGCATTCTGTGGAGGATTGAATCAGTGTTGAGTTCAGAGATTTACCCGCGCTGGCTCACGGAAACTCCTCGAGGCCAGGCCCTCTTAGGGACACTTTGGGAGCGATGTGGGCCAAAAGAGACCTGAGCAATTGGTTCTGGAGGTCTGCGAAAGAGAACTCCGATCCCTCACAGGCTTGAATCTCTCTGGTAGTAAAAACAGCTTTAGAATTCTCTCCTGATGCTTAGCTTCCTGGATCATTCACCTGGGGCAGGTGGAGCGCTTCACAACCAGCTCTCCTATGCCTGTTCAGGTAAAGACCAGTCCTGAGCCAGAATGTCAGCCACCACACTGGACACGATAGGATCCCTACTGATAGGTGAAACAACCACTTTTTAAAACTCTGACTCACATTCCATGTCACTGGTATTTGTTCACATTCCAAGATTGTAAGGAATTAGGCAGTGCCTTGAATTTGACACCTGTGACCATTCCCTAAATTAATGGAACATCTTTCTAGGTATTTCCTATGTTGAGAACCATCACATCAGTTTAGTACTTTAGAAAATGCATGACCAATTGAAATTTAAGTATATTTTCTGTTGCTGTACATAAGAAACAAAATTTAAGTGTATTTTCTGTTTCTGTACAAAAGAAACCTAGGTCTTATCAAAGGGATGCTAGTGATCTTCCTCTGTATTTGTGTAAGAAGTTTGGATAGATTGAGAGGCAATGTCTCATATAGTTGTTAGGATTAGTCCTAAATTTAAACACCTACTTGCTTATTTAGGGATTGAGCAAATTACTTAAACTTTCTGGGCTCGAGTTTCCTCAAAAGTAAAAGAAGCTAGTAGTACCACCAGACAGCTTATTGAAAAGTTTAAATGAGGTAATGTGTATAAAGTGCCTGGTCCATAGAGGATAATCAATAAATAACATGAACAGCAAATACTAAATACTATATAGCACTTCTGGTGTATTAGAAGGGTCAAGGCAGGGTCAGGTGGTTTACATGATCCTAAGAGAGAGATTCTATTTACTCTTAGTAAGGGAACCCTCTGAGATACTATTTGTAGCCATAGTTTACAGGTAAGGAAGTTGAGGTTTAGAAAAGCAAAGCTTGCTGAAGATTACATGGCTGGTGTGTGGGAGAGCCTAGATTTGAACCTGGGGAGCCTGGATCCAGTGTCTGACATCTTAACTCCCATACTATACTGCCTCTTAAAGAAAATGTAAGCTGTTACTTTATTATTACTTCAAAATAAATAGCTAGATAGCTTCTGCATCACTGGTTTTTTGTCCCTTGTTGGTTTTGGGAGGCTCATGTAGCAGTAATGTAGAGACTCAAGAAACTTAGGTTTAAGTACCAATTATGCCATATACTAGCAGTATGAACTTGAGAAAGTGACCCCAGGTTTCCTCATCTATAAAATGGAGGTTATGCCTACTATCTGTGAATTATGTGGCACTACACAAATGTTGTACACATTTTACATGTGTTGTAGGGCCTATTCCTAAATGTGGGTATAATCTGTGAAGCCTGAGTCTTAAAATACAGTGCAGTGCAAGTGCCTATTCTAGGAGTACCAGAGACTGCTAGCGAGGTAGGGGGCATAGGCAAAGCAGCAGAATAAATTTTGATTGTCTGTGGTACCCTTTTCCCTTTCCTTCTTTACACAGTCTGCCCCTATCCTGTATGTCACAGTTATAAAGCCAGTACCCAAGTTAAAACTCCTCTTAATTTCCACAGGTCTTAGCTATGTTTTGTTTTGTTTTGTTTTTTAAGACAGGGTCTCACTGTGTAGTCCAGGTTGCCTTAAACTCACTGTGTAGCCCAGGCTGGCCTTGAACTCACGACAGTCCTCCTGCCTCAGCCTCCCATCAGCTAGCACTTTTAATAAAATAACATATACCAAGTTAGTGTTTCCCAAACTTCAGTACCATCATGTATGCATGAAATTTTATAAGCAAATGGACATTTAAAAATCTGAAATTTTCACATATGCACATTTAAAATGAAATGAAAATTCATTTATTTTAATTTAAATTAGGAGAAAAACCTAGTACCCAAAAGGATATTTCACAGATTTTGCTAAAAATATAGGGCAAAAGTCAGTTGAAAGATCAATATTTGATAAATACAGTAAGAATATGGGTGAGGTGCAGACATTTTGAGTTTTTTTACTTTTTGAGAGATGACTTCCTGATGGCTCAGGCCTGTGGTCACTACCTGACAATCTTCTGAAGGTGAGGGCTCAGTGACTTGTTGTGTTTTAGGTTTAAGAAATTGCTAACCATCTAGTTTGGCATTATGTGACTTTATTCCTCAACCTTCACAGATCTACTAAGGTTCTAATTTGGCCTTTTTCCTCCAACAGTTGTTGGGGAAAGGAAATATAGGCACTACTCAGATTGCCTATGAGTTTCTTGTTAATTATTAAAGACAAGTGTAATATTTTCTGTGTTAAAAGTCACAACCAGTGGCTTAAAAATTCATTGTTGATCCTGATAAGATTAAAACAAAATCAAAAAATTCACTCAAAACTACTACTATTCTCAAAGCTTCCCATGCAGTTGTTATAACCTCTTGCTTTCCATAGCTACTGGTTCTTGGTATTTTCAACCACCATCTTCTGGACTTTTACCCTAGTATGTACAGTTGCCTTGGTATGTACAGTTTCTTATTTCTACTAGCACAGTCCAGATGAGATTAGAGATTTTTTGGTTTGTTTATAAATAAACTATAGTAAGAAGAAAGTAAAAAGAAAAAATGGGGGTGGTATGTTTATTGAGTTGATAAGAGAATATTTTGCTTATCTTAAGATGACTGAAGTCTGTCTAGCAGTTAGTTAAACCTGGCATTGTTCATTGGTTATTCATCCTAGTTTCTTTTATTTTCATGGATTCAACTGGTTTGGGTTTCTCACTTTTTCTACGGACACGCACACACACACACACACACACACACACACACACACACAAAATAGTCCTTGGACAGCCTTTTAAGGATTATGACGGAATTATAACTGCTGTGTTTTGGTTTTAGTTATCAGTCTAAAGTATGTATTAGGAATATCTGAAATGCAAGTTTGTCTAACTAGTTTTCTATTTAGTAGAGTGGTAGCCAATAGAGCCTGTGTTGTATTTATTCTTTTCATTTGAATTTCTCTATTTTGGGAATGTTTTTTCTTGGAACAGGAACTATGTAATGTCTAGCATAATAGTATCTAATTTATGGTAGATACCCAGTAAATGTTTACAGAAAAAATGGGACTTACAGGTTGGTAAGAACAAGCTTTCTTAGCATAAGTTTTGATAAGGTTGGCTAAGGGTTTATCAATTTTATTTATTCTTTCAAAAAACCAACTCTGTGATTCGTTGATTTTTTTGTATCGTTCTCTTAGTCTCCATTGCATTGATTTCTACTCTGATCTTTATAATTTCCTCCCTTGTATGAGCTTTGGATTTGTCTTGCTCCTCTTTTTCTAGGATTTTAAGGTTCAGTATTAGGTTCTTTATTTGAGCTCACTCTGTTTTCCTAATATGGGCATTTATTGCTATGAATTTCCCTGTAGAACTGCTTTCATTGTGTCCCATAGATTCCTATATGTTGTATTGGGATTGTCATTTAATTGTAGAAACTTTCTAATTTCTTCTTGAATTTCCTCTGTGACCCACTGATTTGTTCAGGAGGATGTTATTCAATTTCCATGTGTTTGTTCAGTTATTGCAATTTCTTATGCTATTGATCTCCAGTTTAATTGCACTATGATTTGATAATATACAAGGGATAACTTCAATTCCTTTGCATTTACTTAAACATGTTCTATGAGCTAGCATGTGGTCTATGAGCAGTGTGCAGCCGAAAAGAATGTATATTCTGATTTTGTGGGGTGGAACACTGTGTAGACATCTATAAGTCCATTTCTTCAAAAGCCTGGTTCAATTCTATTATTTCATTGTTGATTTTTTGTCTAGATGATCTATCTATTTGTGACAGTGGGGTATTGAGGTCCCCCACTACAATTGTATTAGTGCTTATTTGGTTTTTCATGTCCATTAAATATTTGTTTTGTATAGTTGGGGGCATTAGTATTTGGTGCATATATATTTTTGATTGTCATCTCTTCCTCTTGGATTGTTCCCTTTACAAGGATGTAGTGACCTTCTTTGTCTCTCTCTTTTTTTTTCCTTAAACTCTTTTATTGGTACATTTTACGTAAACAATACATTTACATTTATCATTGGGTGCTTGTACCTGTACATGATGTATCTTGGTTCTTATTTTTTTCCCCATTACCTGTGCACCCTTCCCCCCCTCCCCCCTTCCCTATTTACATAGA